ATACTCCCAGGAGCAGCTTAAACACACCTTCCCGGAATACCTCCAGCTACTTCATAATTGCTCAGATAATGTGTGTATAAAGTTAATTTTTACAGGTAAGTGCACATCTTTTAAAATAGACAGTACGCCATTACTCTGCCAAATATCCCACGTATTTGGGTAGCCAGTCCCCGCCTTAAAAGTAAGTGCAGCACTTTTTTTAATTGTTTGGCCAATTAATTTTTAGTCCTCAGCCTCATTTAAAATGGAATACTGAGCTCTTCAGAGTAGTGCATTCATATAAGATTTGCCTAGTTCTGATTATTTAACCAACTCAACACATGTGAGCACTCCAGTGACCTCAAAGGTCTAACATCCCTCAAGTACTCTTGCTAAGTAAGAGGTGAGGTATTTCTAGCTCAGTGAAGAATTTCGGGGACTGCGATACATTAGGAAAAAATTAATTCTAACAGGGATGGGGAATATGAGTTACATAAATGCAACTGAACACTTCCTACGGCTTTTCTCCTACATTATTACCGATGAGGGGGAATGACAGTCAGTCTTTGCAGACTTTAAACTTACAGCAATAAAGAGATATTTCTTAGAAACATTAAGTGTCATTATTAATCATCATCCTTAGGGGTATCCAAGAAGTCATCCTGTTCTCACAGAGGATGAGCTCATCCCAGCATGTGCAGATAAAAACATCTAAAGAACAGGATAAAAATAATCTTCCTTATGGCGAGTCAACAAGTGTAGCTTGTTCTGAGCTGCTGTGAAATACATGTGTTTCGATATCTGTGTCTCCAAAGGGGGTAGATGACTCAGTGATTTCCAAGGTTTGCTCTGCCAGAAGGGTTTCAGGTGGGCTCTGGGGGCTTGCAGGGGAGGGGGAGAAGGGCACTGAAAGGAAAGGATGGGGGGGGGGCACCTTCCAGGCAGGGTTCTCCCAGTCCCTCTCCTTCATACCTCCTGAGCCAGAGGAGGACTGCTTTGTTTTACACACAGGGTTTTTGCGCAGTTTCATTGGAGAAGATATTTCTTTTATCATTTCACTTATATGCGGAATCTAAAGAAAATAAAATAGAAACAGACTCAAGAGATACAGAGAACAGACTGACAGTTGACAGAAGAAAGGAGGGCTGGAAACAGGGTGAAAAAGGTGAAGGAATTAAGAAGTACAAATTGGTAGTTACAGAATAGTCACAGAGATGTAAACCACAGCACAGGGGATATAGTAAATAATATCATATAATTATGTATGGGGTTTGGTGTGTACTGGAAATATTTTGGGGGACCACTCTGTAAAGTATAGGATTGACTAAACACTATACTGTACATCTGAAACTGATGCAGTATAATATTGATAATACTGAATATAAACCATAATTAAAAAATAAGATAAAAACCTTCATGAGACTTCTATTTAAACATGGCATACTGAACACAGCTATTGAATCTCTCCTCTGAAACCCTACTACTATAATGATAAAGGAAGAAAAAAGGTGTAAACCTACACAAAGAAAACGGAAAAGTTGATAATAGCACACAAAAGAGTTTGGAAAAATTTGGGAGATAAAATGTAGATGGATGAGAGGTATTTGACAACACCTGACGGGACTACCTAGACCAGGGGTCCTCAAACTAAGGCCCGCGGGCCACATGCAAATACAAATATTGTATTTGTTCCCATTTTGTTTTTTTACTTCAAAATAAGATATGTGCAGTGTGTATAGGAATTTGTTCATAGTTCTTTTTAAACTACAGTCCGGCCCTCCAACGGTCTGAGGGACAGTGAACCGGCCCCCTGTTTAAAAAGTTTGAGGACCCCAGACCTAGACCCTCACCTTGCTCTGTTTGTACCATATCCAGAAACCAACTCCTAATTTACTACAGACTTTTTAAAAAATCAACACTTTCAACTCTTGGATTGACATCTAGGTTGGTGACTTTTGGACATTGGGGTAGAAGAAATTTTTTTATTTATTTTAGACACAGAAAAGCTTGACTCTAAAAGAAAAGTTTGATAAAAATTTACTGTATTGAAATTAAGAACTTGTGGTCATAAACGATACATTGAAGAATTGAAAAAATAAGCTACACCTGGAAGGATATTCTTGCAATACCGACAACGTATTAAGGATTAGTATTAAGACTACACAACTTTGATAAATTAACTTTAAAAAGCACAGAGAATCCAGTAAGACCCGAATAGAAACTTTGCAGAAGAGGAAACAGGATGTCTAATAAACACAATGAAATACCATATTATATCCATTGAATTATCAAAAGTTTAAAAGAAATTGGCAATATCAAGTGTTAGAAAAGTTATGGGTCCACAGGATCTCTGAGACATTGCTGGTAGGCATGAAACTTGCTGCAACCATTTTGGAAATCAGATCGGCATTATCGTCTAAATGTGAGCATTCATGCATTTTCCTAGCAATTCCACCCTTAGGTATACACCAAAGAGAAGCTCTTGCACACAGACAGGAAAAGACACATACAAGCACATTTATAAGCAGCATCGTTTACAAGAGCGAAACCTCTGCAACAACCCAATGCCCATCATCACAGAAGTGGCAGAAGAAACTGATTCTATTTACACAGTGGGATCTGATATAGCAGTCGAAATCACAGACCAGCAAAAAGAAAAACGGGGCAATTTTAAATTCAGGACAAACAACATAATTTCTCAAGTAATCATAGATTAGCATATGGCTCGGTATGAATAATACAGAAGCTTAATAAAGTCAACACTGAATAGTTATTTGACCTCAAGTTGTGAAATGGCCATGAGGAGAACAGAGTTTGGAATATACTATAGCTATATCTGTGAGGGGGCAGTAAAAGAGAGTTAAATCCCAAATTTCCACAGAAGGTGGTCAAAAGATGGTTATTTAAAAGCAATCACTAAGAAGATAAGCATTTTACTTAGAGATATGCAGGCAAATACCAGAAAAACAAAGAGTTAAAAGTTTCTGGAGAGGGAACAAGGATAGAGAGAGCTGTTATTTTTATTTTGTGTTATTATATGCCTTGCAGTTTTCATTGATTCTATTTCACTTTCACAGCCATATATATGTATGCATGTGTGTGCATGTATATATCTGTATCTGATCTATATCTATATCTATATCTATATCTATATCTATATCTATATCTATCTATCTATTGAACTAACTTTCATTTAAAAAACAAGAATCTTCCATTTGGACCCGATAGATCTGACATTGCTGATCAGAGAAATAGATTTTCTAGAAGAAAACTTTTTGGCATTTTGGGGAACTTTAGAGGGCAGTAGCAGAAATCTATGAAAACTTATGGTCCAACCCCCTCATTTTACAAAAATGAAACTAAGGCGTGATAAAACCAAGTTTCAAAATTAGAAGCTCAACTAAGACTAATCCTCAGGTGTCCAGGTGCCCAGGCTTGAGCTCTTCCTGTCGCACCCCACTGTGGGGGGAACAGGTGGCTCTGCAGCAAAGGGAAGGCTGACCCCCCAGCTCTGAAATGGCACATGAAAAGCGTGGGGATGAGGAAGAGGTGCCTCAGCTCTGCACGGGCTAACTCACCTGCAGTGACCCTAAACATGCATATATGTGAGCATGCCTGTGCTTTCTGATTCTTGCTGATTTAGATGAGTCTAAGGATCCGACTGGAGTACAAGGAGTAACGAGAGCCAGAGAAATGTAAATAGATATGAAGGTGGCTAATTCCAGGCTTCAGATGAAGGACAGAGTGGACATCTATTGGCTGAATGAGTGTGTAAATGCCATCATGTGTCTCCCACCCCTGGCCTAACATGGCGAAATTAGCTAGTATTTATACGGGGAGTATTTACTCTTAGAGAGCCCAGAGGAAGATGCAGGCATTCCAACCAGAAACAGCCATTTGAGGAGGCATCAGGGAACACTGATGGGTCTTCAGTTACTACCACCTTTATTAAAACAAAGTTCTATGTGGTTTAACCACTTGGAATATCCATATTTATAACAGTTAATTTTTGAGATTGTCTATATCCTCACATAGCAAAGTGTCACTGGTGGATGGGCAGTCTGGACATCAGCTGAAAGCTTGTTAGAAATACAGCATCTTGAGCCCCACCCAGACCGAGTGACTCAGAATTTAACAAAATCCCCAGGGTTTTCACATGCACATTACAGTTTGAGAAGTTCTGGCTGATAGCCTTATGTTCCAGGTAAAATTATAATTTTAATTGGAGTTGGAAGCTATGCAAATAATCAAAGATATCTTGAAATAGTGATAAATAAGCAATGATATCTTGAAATAAATTAAGATAAACAAAAACTGCCTGGCCTGGCTGGTGTGGTTCAGTGGTTGGATGTCAACCTATGAATCAGGAGGTCATGGTTCGAATCCCAGTAGGGGCACATACCCAGGTTACAGGCTCGATCCCCAGTGTGGGGCGTGCAGGAGGCAGCCAATCAATGATTCTCTCTCATCACTAATGATTCTGTCTCTCCCTCTCGCTTCCTCTCTGAAATCAATTAAATATATATATATATGGAAAACCGCCTGGAGGACAAGCTAAGCTCTGTAATAAACATCAAATGCTCAAAGTGGGAACTGTATTTCTCAGCTATGGTATTTACTACAATCAAATGGAAGAGGGCAGCAATGCTGGGTGCTTTGGGACTGCTTAATGGGAAATCTGGTGATCTGCCATACTTCTCTAAGCATCAACCGCTTTGGAGTGTGCCCTGATTCCCCCACCACAGTGCAAAAACAGTACTGTGTCTTGAAAAAAAAAAAAAGAAATATAGAAATCTGACCTCAGGTGGCTTGGCAAACTGGCCCAAAAAAAGCCCCAAAATGAAACCCCAATAAACAAACCCAACAAATGGGAGAAGTCTGTCCAGAATCCAAATAAAGTTGATAGTATTATGAAAAAAAAATACTCAAGGACTTAAAGGATATCTTTTATTAGACAAGTGGTCAGATGACAAAACCCATTAGGTACACATATCAGAGAATCAATTCAAAGGAACACTCACCGAGAGGAAAGGCTTGGCTTCCCACTTTTGCTGCAGCTGGTATAAATTCCTGGGCCATCATCAAAGAAGCTCCCAAGTGCCAACTTCTGTCGAATAGATTCTCTCTCATTTTTCTGTGCCTAAAATTTCAGGAAAATACAAAATGCCGATAAGTGGGCAGATACATCACAACCATAGGCGGTCGAACTGCTAAGTTTCTTAGAACTGTAACATTAGATGAAAAACAAATACATAGGCCACAGCCAAGAGCATTTGAATTATTAAGAGTTGGAATTAAACCAGCCTCTCCTGGTTCCACCTCTGCGAGCAATTTCAGTTCTTTGGAGCCTTTCCGATCGTTAGTCTAGGGCAGCGGTTCTCAACCTGTGGGTCGCTACCCCTTTGGGGGGTCGAACGACCCTTTCACAGGGGTTGCCTAAGACCATCGGAAAACACATATATAATTACATATTGTTTTTGTGATTAATCACTATGCTTTAATTATGTTCAATTTGTAACAATGAAATTGGGGGTCACCACAACATGAGGAACTGTATTAAAGGGTCGCGGCATTAGGAAGGTTGAGGACCACTGGTCTAGGGAATCACCATTGTGGCACTAAAGATCTTCACCAGCACTGAGCTAGATTTCCTGGAGTTGTGATCTTTCTTCTTATCTCCACAGAGTAACGTGGTGGAGGGCAAGCATTTCGTCCTAAATCAAATTGCTTTTATCCCAAACGGGGCCTCTCCCTGATTCCTGTCTTCTCTCTTCCTTTGATCATCCATTCAGCCCACTTTGTCTACAGCAAGAACATTTTCATTCATTCATTCAACCAGGATGCACTGAACCTCTATGAGAAGGGGGTGCCACACTATGGCGCGGGGACAGTGTCCTGGACGGATGGACACAGCCTCTGCTGCCACCACGCTCTGTCTCGTTTCTGTTCAAGACTCATCCTGATTTCACCAGGCTCAGAATATGAGATGCCCTAACAGACTGTGTGGAAGAGCTGGAGAATTCTAACTGAACCAATCTGGTTCATATTTTGAAGGGAAGTCAGGTCGGTGTGCACAGGAAAGGATCTGGCAAACGGCAATACAGAGATAATTTGGGTATGTTTACAACACTCGGCTTCCCATTAAAGTCCCATAAAAACTCACCATGCTGAACTTTTAAACCCTTTAAACAACAGGAGAGAAGATTAGGAATGATTTCCTTAGTTAAAAATAAAACAACTACAAAAACGAACATCATGAGTTAGAAATTCTGGGTGAGAAAGAGGCCCTGGTTTTGTTCTGTGGGATGATGAAGGCTGTGAGCAGCATCGCTGTACGTTCTGAGCAAGGAGGCTAAAGACTGTGCTGAGCAAACTAGATTACAAAACCCAGCTCACGTGCCTGGGGGTGGCTACAGAAGGCACAGTGGCCCCTTGATCCTTCCAGTAGGAGGTTCTGGAGCCACATCTGCTGCCACCGGAACCCAGAAGTTAACTGTGAAAGGTCTGAGCCATAGTCTGAGCGTCACTGTGACGAAACGCACACCTGCTGGAAGGATGGGCTGAAAATGGCTTCATTTCACCTGCAAGCGGAGGGCAGTGCACCTAGGTCAAGGCTGCTCTCACATGGTAGAAATTCTTCACACGCGGCTGTTTACATTCTAGTTAAAATTGATTAAAATAAAAGTTCCATTTTTATTTTATGAGCTGCATTTGAAGAGCTCCACAGCCACAGGTGGACAGCACGGAATAAATATATGTCAGAGCAGTACCGCTAAGCCAGTACTTCAACAGCTGAGTCAGAATTTCCTGTAGAGACTTTAGACATTCCCAGTGCTTCTCAGCCTTTTGGCTAAGATCATGTGTAAAATATACATTCCCTCGGCTCTAGGACCAGATATTTTGTTTCAACAGATTTGAGAGCTTCTAATTCAAGGAAAGCTCATCTCTATTCTCCTTTCCTCTAACATTTTTAAGTTCTTGGACACTGTAAGCATTCTTTCAACCACATAGTTATCAATGGCCTATCTACCTACCTATCCATCCATTCCCCCATTTTGGCATATACTAAAGAAAGTGTGTCGAGAGAGAGAGAGAGAGAGAGAGAGAGAGAGAGAGAGAGAGAGAAAAGAA